ATCATTTTATATGCAACTTCATACTTTTACTGAATTCAAAATTTTGGCAATCTGCCTTTTTAAGAGAGGTCAACAAGTTATATCATCTTATTATACATATATAGATATATACATATATATATATACTAGTATTTATATTAAAGAAATATTTTTTTTCTTTTCAATTCAAAAAATAAAGTCATCATTATGCATTATGCATTAATGCTATTATAACCATTTTTGGCATTAATAACTAATATTAATTTATTGTTCATTTTTATGAATTTTGTGATTTATAAGATAGCCACGTAATTACTTTTCTGAAAACTATATTAACGTTTGATAAAAGAAACGAAAATTGTGTAGTTAGCCAACTACACAAATGAGTTATATTAAGCGTTTGTAAGGAAATAGGAGTTTCATGAATTCCAAGAATAAGTAATCATTAGCTTCATTACAGGTTCGTAAAGTCCTTTAGGACATTAATAAAATATGTAGTTACAATAATATTAACATTGATGAAAGCTTGTTAACACTTAGGTGGGAGGCAAAGCTATTTGTTGAATCAAAAATCTCTTTAATCTATATTTGTTGTTTATTTTCTTTGCATACATTTACTAAACTTAATACAGGGTGTTTTTAAAGTAGACATTTAGTAATTTATGTAAAGGCTGATTATCTGTCAGTTCACACTGAATTTTTAGTTGTTGTTTGTCCAGCAAAAACTATAGCCATGAGGCCCCCTTTTGTCTCTCACTAACTTTGTTTATAAAAAGAATTGTCACATTAAGAATAAATATCAGCCAAAGTCAAGTCATCACCTACTGAGCAACCTTAAAATCCATTGTTTGGGGATATATAATATTAAGATAATTGTAATATATGCACTATTTCTAATCTTCGATTAGGTTCGATTCTGGTTAATTAGAATATAGACCAATGTGCTTCTAATACGATATTTTTCATTTGTAGTCTGAAATATCTGAATTTAAGGCATTACAAAAGGAAACACTGAATGAAAATTTATTGATACAAATCTTTTTTAAACTTAGGACAGGTCAAAGTTGCATTTGTATAGTGAGAGATTTCGTTTGTTTGGCAATTATATTTGTGTCTGATAAAAACTTTATAACAGGATAGTGCCTTAGCCATCTTTGAAATTGTTAGACTATCCAAAAAAGGGGTTCCATTCCCCACCAGTGTATAAGCTCTACTATTTTCCACGATATCAACATAAATCGGAACTTAAATTAGACATACGTTGTATGTATTATTTATCTGATTAAACAATGAATGACATCATAACACTCTTCTTGATTTCTTCCCAGGACTTGAGTGGTTTGTGAGAGGTTGACAGCGCCACACAATATTGTTGTGACCTATTATCAACCTATTAAATAATGTTGTTAATTTTATTTTTATAATATATTTAATAACTTTAAATATACAACAAAACAAAAGAAAATGTTTATCAATTTCTTCGGCTTTAAAATTACTCGTAATCAATAGTTTAGTAGAATGCATAGCATTTTATTACAAAAATTAGTCATCGTTCTGTGTAATAAAACAAAAATGTTGCTAGTTATAAATTTTTAACATTATCTTCAACTTATTTTAATATTAACTTATTTTTAGTATAAAAAACTACATTCCCTTCCCTGAATTCCAGACCTCACCGCAATTACTGCAAAACTCATATCGCGAATAAATGTGGCGTCACAACATTTTGGGTTTTCTTTTTTTTTTATTAATGGAAAATTTTGACATCGAATATACTATATAGGTTATAAATTTTCTCTATAAAACTCAAAACAAAATAAAAAAGAAATTTATATGAGTATCTCAAAATGACGCGTAATACGTTAAAAATGTTTGAAGATTCACACATTTCTTTATGGAAAGAAATATATTTCTATTTATTTTTGGCTGTGGACTTTGTTCAGATGAAGGCTGTTTTTTGCAAATTCTTCAGTCTTTCTGCGAATTTTTTTCTCTGTTTATCTGCATATCTAGTTTTCTCGGTGAACTGCTTTTCTAACCTCTTCGGTTACCTCTTCAAATATTAAATTTTAATTTTTTTATTACGTCGTGTCTACTGTTTCGATTATAAAACTGGTTCCACATAACAAATTCGTACGATCCGTCTTCTGTTTTCTGTTTATCGGTCGTATCAGCGTCTAAAACATTGGCTCGAATATCGAAGTTTCTAGAGAAACTGTAAACTGATTCATATGGTTTTTTTTAATTGTTTATGTTATTATTGTTTTATTTCTTTTGATAGACGCTCTTTTACGAATAGCTTACGAAAATGGAAACAAAACTCAAATTAACCCCAAGAGTTATGTTTTTTTTTTATTACAGTTGCGGTTTATAATTTTTTTTTATAAAAAACGTGATAATTAATTTATTAATATGGCATATAATAAAATTTATGTGACACATTTTTCATTTAATCATTGGGTTAATAAATTTATTAACATTGATTTTTTCTAAAAAAAAAAAGTATTCAGAATTTTCAATGAATTTATTAGTTAGAAACCGGTATTCGAATGAATCAGTAACGTGATATATGGGCAATATACTACCATATAATGAGGGAAATATTATAATGAATGAAAATTTAATTAAAGCAAATTATGTATTAATTCATAAACTACTTTAAATCGATGAATGTTTACAGGTTTTTTAAAATTACTGGATTTTAATTGATAACGTTTTTTCTTTTCAAAAGTTTATATAGTATAAATATATGTAGATCATTTGAACAGAACCTTTTTAACCTACATCCATATAGAGCCAGAGTTTGACCTATGAACATTGCCTCCAAGTGATCAATACGAAAAGCATAAATATTACTATCATAATTAGGTCAACATTAAATGACTATTGGACTCCCCAACTAATATCTTAGATTTTATCCACATAATTATTTATTTATAAATAAATCTATATTAATAAATTATTATAAAATATGATAAGGAGCAATAGTAACAAAAGCCTTTGCTCAGTAGTGATATTTTAATTTGAATTCAATATGTCAACTATTTAAATATAGTTAATAAGAGAAATTTTACAAACATAATCTTAACAGTAATATATTATTGTTTTAATAGTTGTAATTGGTTATTTTAATGTGGATATTAGTTTTATGTAGAACTTTGTATGACTGTATAGGATATTTTGAATCCCAAGCTACGAACTAAATATATATGTATAATCTGAATCAGCATGACAAGGCTTGATTTAGCTATATTAGCTAAAGTCAAAACTGTTTGACTTTCTGTCTGTTAATATGCAAACAAATCTCATAGTTTTATGGCGAATCAAATAGCACTTCTCGTAAATTTAGAAAAATCAACTCAATATATTGATAAAATTACACTTATTATGGAGCTTCAACACCTTTTTAGGAAAATAAAAAGTGATATACATATATCTCACAATCATTATTAGTCTCTTCAACGTGACTAATACTCTTCCTTATGATCTTCCTTAACAATCGGCTACAACAAAAGATAAGATATAAGATATCCAAAGAGCAATATGTAAAGAGCAATTTTTATAGATTCATGAAGGTTCAAATTTTTTTATTTGCCGTATTTAAGAATACAATATTGACATCAATTGCATACTTATGGGGCACAAAACGTAACGATATCAATAATAGTGAATTCAAACCATTCTTTTATTCAAACTATTAGAGCGCTTTAAGCCACAAATCTCTCAATGAAAATGGACTGGAGATACTCTCAAAGCTGATGAGGATAATATTCTTAACAAAATATTAAAATTGCAACCCTATTAAAAACGAAACAAAGGTAGACTTCGAGTAAAATGGATTGCCAATATTGGTACTAATTAAAATAATTCTTTCTTAAATATTAACACACATTATCTCAGTCATACATATTTTGATGGGTGGAATTACTTTCAAACCTGATGAGAAGAATACACAAGTTAATATTAAAAGTGAAATAAAGGTTTCCTAGAATAAAACCCCTAAAAAACGAAGCTGAAGTAATCTGCGAACAAGTGTAATGGACAATATTGGTGATGATAAGCATAATAATAATGGCCGAAACACTACCAAGAACAGCAAGTGTTGCAGCGAAAGATGGTAGTAAATGAAAAATACTTTTTCACGTGGTTAAAACCCGATCCGGATTGATGATGATTCTTTAGTAAAACATATGGCATTAGTTTTATCTAATTTTATTTATTTCAATTTTTTTCAGATTTTTAAGCATGCTATTTTATTCAGTTAAATACTATAAAAATAAATATTAATATTTGTCTGAATGATATCTTAAATATTAGGTTAGATACAAAAGTAATTGTGATATTGATATTAAAACTCAATTATCTTTATATTTAACAATACATTTAATAAATTGACGACTCTGGGGATTCTGTATCTTCGTAAATTCAAAAAAAAAAAATTTAAAAGACAATGAAATAGAAATGAAAAGACAACAACAAAAATTTTAGTTAATTTATTTTAGTTTGGCTGAGCAAATTCAATTCAACAACAAAAATTTTAATTAATTTTTTGAAGTTGGGCTGACCAAATTTAATTCGATAAGTTAACTAAAATTTTTGTTGTTGTTTTCCATTACTATTTAAACCCTTCTAACTTTTAAATAGTTTCTTTTTGTCATAAGAAACGTCACTTCCGACAAAAAAAAATGAAAATTAAAAATATATGTATTTACTATTATTATAATTTTATTTTTTATTGTTTCTAATAAGTATATTTAACTTTAACTAAAGTTAAGTAAATTTTGTAACTACTCAATATCAAGCACTCGATTACACATTGTGTAATAATACAAAAATGTTTACACATTTTTTGTGGCGCAAAACAGAAATGTTTCGGTTGCATTTCGTTTGGAAGACTAAAAAGCAACAAAAATCGATAATTTCACAATTTTTTTAAATTAAAATTTTTCTCACATTTACCGAAATTAATTGAAATTGTAATTTTACTATTTAATTAGAAATGTAATGATGATTGCACTCACCTCTAAAGCAATCTTTTGCTGCAATTCCCGTCCGACGTGACCGAATTTATAGCGATCTTCCGCCAATGATGTAACTAAATTAGCATTGGGAATGTTAACGCTTTCGCCAGTGCCACTGCCAGTGCCGCTGCTGATGACGATGTTGTTGGTTTGAACGTTGTTGGTGGTCTCGTTGAGTTTTGTGTCTTCCAAATTTTCAGCAAGGTTCAGAGCTGTTGCCTTGGCACGTTTTCCAACAAATCCATTCAAATCTAATAACTTCAAATTGGAGTTTAACAACCAAAAATTTTTAACTGACGAGGAACTTTTAAACATTATTTTTTTATGAGCACCAAAAAATTTAAAAATTTTAGTTTATTTTCTTTTTAAAAAAAAAAAACAAAAAAATATATTTTTTATGAATAATTAACTTTGCTTTTCTCAACTCTTGTAGTACAAAAAATGCAAATTATTTTATTTTATTTTTAGATTTGTTCAAATAATGTTTTTTGCAAAGTATGCTTTTCTTCTACATCCAATATTCACTGATTCCCTGTTAACCGTCTTCTTTCTCGTGCAAACGCGCTCTTTGCCTACTCACAAACAACTGATTGGATTGGATTTTCGGTGGCACTGATGGACACCAACTGCTCTTATATCTAACAACAAACTTTTCTGTGTACTTTTGCCGCATACTTTTTGAATGAATTTCGTTAAGTACATAATTTTTTTTCGTTCACCATTCGTGAATTTTATCGCCTTCGTTTTCCCTGCCTAACATTTCGTTGTTGTTGTTCCATATTTCTTCTCTCCTCAGCTCTTCTATTTTCACATAAGTTTGCTAAAGTCTTGATAACATAAGCGGATTGTACCCATTGCACAAGGGTGGCAGAGTGTATACCAAATATGTACGTACACTGAAAGTTTGCTCTCCTTCTCTTCTTCATTACATTAACAAAACTTTTGACTAGTGACTTGCTCTTGTTATTGCTGTTGTTGTTGGTGTTGTTGTGTATCCATTAGGAACAACTCAAGCATTTTTATTACATGTAATGTACATTGAATGCTAATTATGGTTTATAATTAACAGTTTTAACTTAACAGCTTCAGTGTTGCAGAAAGTCAGAAGTCAAATGCATTGAACTTTAAAATTTATAGTTCGATTGATAACTCAAAATCCATTATTGGATTGATTTCCTTCAACGAAATGTAACTTTCAAAATTAAAAATAATAAAATGAAATTGTAGAAGTAAAATCAGTTCATCTAGATAAACAGGTTTTACAATATTATTATTATATTGAGGCTAGTTGAGTCAAGGGACTTGAGCACTTTTAATCTCTATTAACTGTAAGGTTTCTTCATAACCCGTCTTTACGCCTTGGCTGGATTATTGTTTATCACTTCATCAGACTTAGCAATAATTGACCTCAGATCTGCATAGCTCTCCGAGGGACTTGTAATCATTCTGAGATTCGATAACGCGGTGATGGTAAGTCTGTCAGTTTTCGTAAATAATTTCAGGGCTTTATTCTTTATGTATTTTTTGATTTTTTTGGCTTTGTACAATTTCTAGCTGACGAATAGTAGTGTTTGACGGTCGAATTATTTGGTTATACAACAGCTTTCTGTTCTTAGTATTCAGATTTTCATTTTTGAATAGTGGTTGGAGGTGATGAAGAATTTTGGCACAGCTAATTCTTTTCAGTTGAACATGTTTAAGCCATGTGAATCGTTTGTCCACCGTGATGATGTAATATTGATCTATATGATGATGATTAAGAGAAACTGTAAAAGTCGATTCGCTTGTGATACACAACATCTTTCTCCCCCACCAAAGAGGAAACTATACTTAAACGTAAAGCTTCAATTGGTACCCGCAGAGTGCCTTGACATTTCAATGTGGCAGTTATTGGCGTATTATACCGATATGTCTGTTAAGAACATCGTGGTATTGAACCCTTACGGCAGGTAATCTTGTTAAATAACTCTAGACTTCTTTCCTTAAAATATATCCGAAATAATATTTTAATATAATATTAAAATGAGAAATAATGAATAGCGTTCCCAACGACATGGAGTTTCGTAAGGAAATTGCATACAAATAACCGATACTAATGTAATAACTTTTTGTTTCGATTTCAGTACATAATAAAATATAAGAGGTACTAGTGGAACTATTATTTATTTATATAATTTCATTCCAGTCACCTTTTTTTTTACTTATATATAAACATATTATATATATCTAAACATGTAAGACGAAGATATAGCAACGAAAGTACATACATCTTAAACTGCAGAATAAATTACACGAGCTGACGTAATGTCAAAAAGTCACTGGGTGAAAAAAAAACCCTTAAGTAAAATACATGCCAAAAATGATTGTATAATATATGATAATATAATATATATAATATAATTTAATTTTAAATAAATACTTCATGTTCTGAACACATTAATGCTATAACATATTTATCTTATAAATATCAATAAATCTTTTAATATCATTAAAAGAAATAAATATTAAATATTAGATAAATACAAAAAGAAATATGTAAAGTTTCCTGGACTACTGTTTTATGAGAATTATTTTTGAATGTAGTGATTAACTAAATTTCAATACACATGGGTACCGAGACACAGGGGCATCGCGACAACGGCATAGCAGAAGAACTTGCCAAAGCAGACACTCTGCTTTCTAACATTAATTTCTTTTAATTTCTTATTGGTATCCCAGCTTACAATACCTGAGTATAGCAAAAGAAACTTGAGCAGATGAAAATAGCTGGAAAAGCTTAACATGGTCCAAAATGGACAAGAAATATATGTTAACAGTAAGTCACTTTAACTTAAACCCAACATGCTAAGCGCTTTGCTATCAGTGCTGAAAGGTCGCTGCGTACTAGAAAGATATATTATGAGACTGGGTGTACTTTGTAATGTCGTAGCTCTGAAGAGGAAAAATAGATCGTGTATGACATTCTTTGTCAATGCACATCTTTCAACAATAGAAGATTAATAATCTTTTAGTTTCTATAACCAGATATTTAGTTTGAAAAAATAATTTGTTGGCTAATTGATTCCATATCTTAAAGAAAGACAAAAAAAACCTTACCCAATCACTTAAAAACTAAAGTTTCTATTAGAGTTTTGAGTTTTTGAGCACCATCTGGTTATTGTTACTTTTATATTTAATTATATTATTAAATATAATTTATTATTAAATATATTTAATATCACAACTATTTGATATACGATCACTATTAAATGTAGTTATATATTTAAAATCTGCAATCTAAGTTTGAGAAAATATTAAATGAATCGATACTTATGTTGTTCTTTTCAACATCTGTGGAATGATCAAATTGATGAAGCACTAACCGGACCTGATGTACGAGATTGGAGAAGACGCGCACGCAGCGATGGCGGCTGAAGAGACATGCTGCGACAGTTCGAAACCCGGTAACGGGTTGTTATGGTCAAATAATTAAGTAAGTAAGGATCTGTCTATCTAGTTCTTTCTGAATATGCTCGTCGATGCGCGTACTTGAAAGAACTTATACTTACACACTCAAAATGCCGAATAAAAAGTTTTTTTAAAGTGTTTTTTTAGAGGGTTTTCGAGGTGTTTTTTTCTGATATCAAGCTCAAGTAAGAAAATAAATTTGGCAAAAAAAGGAACGAGTACGAAAACACTTGATATCAAAACAAAGGTAGGTGGTCGAATATTTTTTTTATCCAAACATACATACTTGCGATTCTAAGATGTTTTATAATAAACCTAGGATTTAATAATATTTTAATACTCATTAGTAGTACCATTTCTCTAACAAATTTAAACAAACAAAAACAACTTTTTATCAAAATTTGCTAACACAAAAATCTCAAAAAATATATTTATCTTAAAAATTTTTATCTGAATATACTAAAACAGAAATAATTTTATCTTAAACTATTATTTATTTTATATAAAAACTTCCAAAATAAGTTTTTTTATGGGTCGCAGAAGTCTTCTTTACAGTAAAAAAAAATAAATAAAAAAAAATTAGCAGAAAATTATAAAAAAAACATGCCGTAAAAAATGCTAATTTTCTTACAGAGCGTACAGAGTGGAGAGATAAAGAGAGATAAGCAGTGCCGCACAACATATTCCACTACCGGCCTTTCTACTCTCATTTCACGCTTTAACGTGTTCGGTATATGTAGACCAAGCACATGCTTTTTGTTTGTGTTGGTAACATGTGCTATCGCTTATCAACACATTTTCGCTTAAAAGCTCTGTTGTTTCTTAAAGTTAGAGGCTCGTCAACGGACACATAAAAAAACGTGTTGCTATTAGCTTTGAATAAAAAAAAAAAAACTCTGTTATTTTCGCACATACTGAATAATTTTAACATCTAATGCTTTCTGTATGGCAACAAGACTTCAAAATACGATTTTTTGCACGTTTTGAAAATAGCAGCGCCGTTAACAGTGACGTTGCGGTATGCAACAGTTTTACAGCAGAAAATAACAGCAAAGAATATGAAACTATGCTATTCTATTTTAAATTAATTTATAAAAATGCGCGCTTGCCAGCAAAAATAAATTTTATTTGCAAAAAATTTGCGCTTGACAACCTAATCGACTTGACATATAACCGTGAAAATATTCGATAAGAAGTGCATGTAATCTTCTTCTACTAATTGTACATACGATAAAGGACTGTACTTGGGTTCCTCAGGCGAGAAATATACTATTTCGTCTTCTTCATGCTCCTGATCATTTACATCATAAGTCACACTAAAACGTTTAACGTTATCCTCGTGTGTCATGGGTTCACCTTGTCGTCGCAGTGGTGATCGACTAACGCATGGTGTAGATGATTCGGGTGTATTATTTTTGGATTCTGAATTTACTCCGAGGATTGGACTTATTGGATGGGAAATATTTAAATTTCCACCGAGTGCCGGTGTACGTTGAAGTTGTTGTTGTTGTAAATGTAAACGACGCACAACATTAACTCGTAAATCGGAAGAATGTCTCCTATTCGCATCTGTTGATATTCGCGTGGAACTAAGTGCAGGTTTAGCTGCAGCATCGATATCCATATTGCTTTTCTCCTTTTCCTGTTCATCATCTATAGTCTGCATAAGCACTTGTCCGTGTTTGCGACGGTACCAAATGCTTTTATGTTCTCGCTGATCGACTATCACTTTTTTCCGCACAAATTCGTAGAATGCGAATATTTCAGTATTTGTTTCGCGTCGGACAAGCTGCTTTTCCCTTGGCGGCATATGTACATTCTTAAGTGTCAACATGCACTGTGAAGCAGCTAATGTGAGTATATGTTCTAATGCCATGAGACATAGTTCACCATCTAAATTTGACAACATCTCATTAGACGGACAATTGGAAGATGATACGGAAGTAGTTGACAAAGATTTCGAAATAAGTCTTCGGGTATTATTCTGTCGACTAATAGTTTGTGTTTCTGCTGCATTCGTAGTATCAGCATGATTGGGTATGACATTCAATGGTACCTCGTGAAAAGTATAATTTTGCTAAAATAAAAATAGAAGTCATATATGTATGTTACATACATTTTTAAAATATTATTTCGTTTTCACTTACCAGATTAAGTGCTTTTACATAAACTCCTACTATACTAAGCGCCGTTCCAAATGAAAGGGAGACATCATTTTCATTAAGCTTTGGTGCACCAAAGTTTATTTCGAATATGGGCTCCCATTTACTTAACACAAATTCTGGTTCACATATCAAATCAATCATTGTGGGACTGAAGTGCTTCAAGCATTTGACACAGAGAATAATAATTTCTGTCAAACTAAAAGAAATGAATAGTAAAAAAAAAGATTTAAAATATATTTTAAAACAAAATTACCTATACAAGGCGAGTCAATGGGAATTAAAAGAGAAAAAGAAACAGTTTTGGGATATTTTGTTCCAAATCTTACTCTGATAAAAATAAATTCAAGTTTTCGTCTTTAGAGGAGTTGTGTCGCCTGTGAAGAGATACGCTACACTGATCACCTAGAGACTTCTCCCATTGGAAGGCATAAGAGATGACAAAAACAGCTTCTGCATTATATCTTCCACAATTTATTTTAAGACGTGAATTCAACGCTCTTATGGACATGAACATGGATTTTTTATCAGAGAATCTATTACTACTATTCAATAAAACCTCTCTATGGAAAACAATAGCTTATATTAAGAATTAAGTTTATTTCATCAAACGGACGCTGAAAATCAGCTGAAGAAAATATAATGCAATATAAAAAAAAAACTTTTTTTAAGAATTCTTATTGATAACTAATTCTGGTTGCGAGATAGGAAATAACGCTTTAACACTTCATCAAACTTTAAGTTGTATCTTTATCATATCTATGGTTATATTTCATATAATGATTACTACTATAAGATAAAAATCTAAATACTTACTCTTACTTGTAAAATAAATACTTACTCTTACTTGAAAATAAATACTTACTCATTTAGGGTTGTGGTAATGTCATCTGCTAATTCCGCATTATCATTCTCGCGCAATATACCCAAATGATCTCCAGTGAGCAGACATTTTAGATTTTTAGGCTGATGAAACATGGAAATGCAGTGTCCCATGAGTATTTGTAAAGAACGCTGTAAAATGTTATGCAAATTTAATAATAAATTTATACAATTACATATAATAATGAATACCATTAAATTAAAAAGCGATTTCGCATGCTCCAACCGCCATTGCTTTTCATATGGCACCAGTTCCATAATAAGGGTAACAGCACTTTTGATTAGGTTTACTGCTAATGGCTCTAAAGACTGTTTTCCCAAAATTAATGAGTCTATTAAGTATTCCTCATGTATGCCAACGAATTGTAGAACATCTTTCAGAAAATGAAGATTATGATTTTTAAAAAGTATTGTAACCAACTCAATGCCACGTGCATATATAGGCCACCATTTCTGTGCAGTCCACTTATCTGATGAATTTGTGACAGTTGTAAAATCTGACGTCAGTAATTCCTTCGGTGGTAATAGCTTTATCCAAAGATAATCCCCCACATCGCAATGTAAGAATTCACCTGAACAATTGCCTTTAGCAAAAACTAACAGCACATCTAAGAGTTCAACGGAAAGCTGCTGCTTACTATGCATTTGCAGGATATAACTCGTGCAACTTAACAAACGTTGAAAAACTTTACTGGATATAAAAGGCATATCCCAATTTCTTGGACCATTGTTATGAAATATTATCGCTACAGTCTTTAGTAAATTCAAGCTTAAAATAACTGAACTCGTGGAAGAGTTTTGACAGGTTGGCGCAGAAAGCTTTGTTTGCACTTCGGCTTTAACACAATTCTCCAAGCTCTGCAACTCTGTACATATAATGCTCACCACAGAGTGAAGAAAATTAAGAGCTATGCTTGAATCAGCGATGAGCTCATTAGTAAGCAAATTGGCACTTCTTATCGTTATTGCGAGACAAGCTTCACGAGCACGTACATGTAAACCTTCATAGCAACTTGCTACACGTATGAGTAATTTATTCAATTGCTTCAACATTACTTCATCCTCTTTTGGAGTTTCCGTGTAAGAATGCTTACAATTTAATAATAAGAAAAGATACAGTTCCGATAATATTATAAACGGTCTGAGATCATCTATATATGCAGATCTATCTACTAAAACGTGTAAACACTTTTCGGCTAACAATTTATATTGTTTCTGTGGTAGCTCTACAATTTGCGGTTGTTTCTTCAGTATGACAAGTAAAAGTCCTTTAAATGCTTGTAGTCTCGCTAACCAATCTGGCACATCTTCAGAAATTAAATCATTTTCAGTCGATATTACAGATGGAATTTTAGGTAAATCAAATATAAAGTTCAGTAGTTTTTTGAAATTTTCACCGTCAAATAATTTTAATAGTAAATTTTTAACTGCAGTCTTTTCTTTAGATGTAGTGCGATACACTTCAATTGCTAGTATATTAAATAGTTGTCCATAAGCACGCACATTCTGCTTTAATTCACTAAATAGGGGCCTACATAGCTGCTCCCAAAAATTAGATTTTTCTATTAATGACTCGACAAGTATTTGCATATTCTGCTTCCAAAGTGTATGGAACAAATTCATAATTTTGCTGGGTAAAGTTTGTGCGACTATTTGTGGATCCTTTTCAACGCTATTCAAATAAACTTCAATGAATGTTAGTATACTGTCGGCTATCTGTTTGTCGGTTTCTTTCTCAAATAGGCGCTTCTCCAACGCATAGTTGACTTTGAAGAAAGCTTCTGTGACTCCTGGCTGTTTCTCTACACATGCTTCTACCAGCTCAATTACAGCAACCTTTATTGAATCACTTTCCAAGTCATCCGGAAGTTTTTGCAAAAATATCAAACGTATTTGATCTGGTTCCATATCCAAGCATGCAAGTAGAGACATATTGAATTGTAAAGCTATACGCCTTAGAAGTCTGCAAGAGAGTATAGGCAACCACCGATCAAATATGTTGCTCATATAGCTGGTAACTACAGATATGATGCGTAAAGAATCACGTTGTTTTGGTTGTGTGTATATGAGAGTTTCTAGTGGAGAAAGTTTATTGTCATCGGGGAATACAGTACTTTTTAATCGCAGCAATTGCATTAAGATACGCATAGCTAAACGCACTAGCAAAACCATATCAGAAGACTGTTGCACCATCCAATTTGACTCCATTTCCATAACATATTGCAAATATGCATTTCCAAGAGCCACAAATCTGTAGAAGAGATTCTTATGTTAAACTTTAAATAACAAAGTAATTTATTAAAGAAAATATTATATTTATATTGAATACCTCAGCAATACTAAACCGTTCTCGAGATTTAAGAGACTGTAAATGCAGATGTTACGGAGCATTTGCTTATTAACGCAGTTTGGGTCTGTTTTGTTGATAACCGCAACCGAATCCAATATATCGCAAATAAGACCCATAATTTCTGCGTAAATTTTATTTCTTTGTATTGGAATCTGAAAATGCCATGTGTGCAGGTTAGGAAATATTTCAAGTAATAAAAATATGAGACCAGGAATTTCTACTTGAAAATAATTGTGACGTTGAAGCTGGAATTAAAAATCTGTTTTAATAACTCATTCAAAAAAAAAAAATACAACTGTTAAACTACCTTCGTATAAGTTCTTAAAAAGTTTAAGTAAGCCAAAAAAAAATCATAGCACTCAGTTTTCTTTTCAATTTCTACTAAATAGCTACCAACAAGTTTGGAGTCAAAGTGTACACCAATCGAATATTTTTTGAAATCATCCAATGTGGTATTTGTAATAACAGGCAAAATATCCAAATTAATAACACGTAAGTATATTTCTTGATCTACCAGACGCAATAATGCCGTGCACACATTAAGACAATTCGCCAAGAGCACGACTGGTGGATTTTGTAGATATTTATATTTGTTAAGCAAGTCTATACACATTTCTGTTGGGTGAACCATTTCAGCACTTATAGCTGCTATTGATTTTGTACGTTGCAACTCAGCGCACAAATATTTAAGTCCTTCGTTAACACGTGAAATCCGATCACCTTTTATAAAATCTTTACTAATCTGCGTAGTGCTTGAAAGCAAACAATTCATCTCATGTTGCAAGACATTGAAATAGTTGACATTCTTTCGAAAATGCACACAATAGCCTTCTTCACGGGACATAACTACAACAGTTGTTCCTTCATAAATAGTATAATCAATATGCGGAAAAGGATTTATGTTTCTTGTGAGCACATAATCATCTACACTGACTGCACGCAAAACAGTACCGTAGTGCTCATACGTATCAGTAAAAATTGGTAACTCTTCCAGCTGAGACTTAACCTGGTTAAAAAGATTTAAAAAAAAATAAATTGATCTATTATAAATACAATTTAAACTAAAAACTTACATATGCTCCCTGACCACCTTTTACTAACGCAGTTGCCAACATTGATATGTGCATAAAATTATATGGAAATATTTCCAATAATGTATTATACAAGGAACGTGTGCCAGTTTCTAAAGAAAGGCCCATATATTAGTTAAAATAAATATTTAAATTACTTATTTTAAGACTTACCGGAACTACAAAATTGCTTCGCTAACGTGGGCCAAGAGAGTAATTCAGCCAGCAATTCATATATGAAAGGGTAACTAGCACATGTGCCATCGTTGTCAAATAAGTCGCACATATAGTTTAGCAGGTTGTGCACTGTTCTGCGTGCAATTTGTGACACTAGACTATCATTCTAAAAATAATGTTTAAAATAAAAATATACTGGGGCAATATATATAAATGTACTTACCCTAAGCATTTCATTAGTTAGCATACTACGCAAATATTTAAAGCATTCTAGGTCAATAGCTCGTTTACCGAATAACCTAAACTTACGAGAAGACTCCAAATTTTCAGCTGCATTTTTAAAACGGAAATTAAGCAACATCCATGCCAAAAGCATTGGTCCATTCTCTGGCCTGTGGTACATACGCTCAATATCATCTGCCAATACATCTATTACTTCACAAGCAATATCTTTACATTTCTCGACATCATTAAAATCGACGCATTTTAGAAAGAGTATGAGTTCCGAATAAGTGATACGTTGTATTAGTTCTTGATGCAAGCCATTATTGCTAACGAAGTACTGCTGCTGCCTACCAAAAGCATGCTGCTTAAAGCACTCAAATAATATTTTGATTTGTTCTAATGTAAACGGCAACTGCTCGCTTATCAGTAATAATATGTGTAATACTTCATTTATCTCTCGTGCATTCCGTTCCGACCACTTAATTAGTTTTTCGTTAAAATTAAAAAATTCTCTTGACGCCAGCTTACCTGGCGGCTTTTCATTTATTAAAAATTCTAATTGTTTTAAATAAGACTTTTGCAATTTTTCTATTGAAATATGTTCAACCACTTTTTCGTATTCATGATGATATGGATGACTAGGTACTTTAAAATATATGAAGAGATTTTTGACTATTTTTAAGATAATCATACGTTGTAGTGTGTAATAGCCCCAAATATTATCTAGCAGTTTACTCATATTAGTCTCAGTTGATAGAAGCACAGTCAGTAAACTAGCGGAACCGCGATATTCATTTTGTAGATAATAGCATAATATCTCCCAACATTGTTTTGACTCCACGTTTAACAACTCTTGCAAGCGCTGTGTGAACATTAATAATTTTTCTTGCTTTTTTTGCTGTAATAACTTTTCAATGTCGATTGTAGATGCACTCATATCCTTAAATTGCAATAGCCCACATTCAAGTTCTTTTGCTACACTAAGTAATTCAGTCTGAACGGTGTCCTCGGGAGTCTCATAATTAATGCCAGAAACTAATTGCCACAAGCGCTTCCAATCAAGCCTTAAGAAAATGAAAAATGTATAACGTATATATATTATTTTAATTTGATTATAACTTACATTTCCTCATTATTTGTAGTAGTCATAATTGTATTATTTATAAATTAACTAAAAACAACAAATTTATTAACGACATGAAAAGCATTTAACGCCGCGCCAATTTCAATACTGTCAAAAACAGATGTTTGCGTGGAGTATCCGAAATACACTTTAAAAAATTTTAACGCATTATTTATTTAACATGTTATTAAAACTAAATAAAATTAAACAAAATCATATCGAATATAATATATAAAACATGTATATGGAATTCAAGCACTAATATATATTAAGTAAAAGATATTTCACTTAACTTATTAAATAATAAGTAATCAATTATTATATACAGCTTACTTTACTATAGAATATTATATATCTCCATTGATTAATATTCGTGAAACTGACCGTATACTATATTAAATAAAAAATGATTTCTTAGGAAATATTAGACTATAAAATTTAGATGGATGAAGTAAGTATGATATAGAGAAGACTTGTGGCCACATTGGGAGAAAAGGCAAATATTGGAACCTTAGAAACTGATTTTAGTGATTGCAAGTCTTACATTGGGGCTTTCGATGCTTTCAGTTTTTTACTGAATGAAAAAAAGAAAAATATGAAAGTCTACCTTCCAACTCATGTAGGTCTATCAAGAACAGTTCCAGTATATAGACTTCCAGTATATTTAATTTAATGTACTTGTTTAGTTACAATTCCATTTTCTTAATTCATTTAAAACAACTGTTGAGCTTCGTCTCATATATATATAGTATATATGTATTGATATAAATATATTAAATTTATTGACATCAATGCTTTGTAATATGGCGTTTACTCTGGCGTCAACTAACTGATTTGGGTCAAAAATCACAAATAAGAAGTAAATGATTGATTTCTGTATACAAATTCTCATACGTGAAAATAAGATCCACATTCGTGCAATGGATCTTATTTTGTACAAATGAGTTCCACCGAATTTCAAATGAGTTTTAAATGCAAATGAATACATTGAACATACCGCATACCATTGAACAGTTTAAGAATATTGTTTTTGACATATTCATACAAAAAAGATAAACAAATATTTGGTTGTTGTATTTAATAAAAACGATACACCTCTTTTTGGAACCTCTACTTTCCAAAAAGTACTTTAATCGAAGCTAAAAATAAATTTTCAGTTTATATTAAGTCTGCTCCACGAACTACTCGGGGTAATACTCAAGTAAAACACAAATAACGTACAAACTAAGAACGTAATACAAATAAAATGCCAAATAACGCTTTTTACACAGATTTTCATAGAACAGCTTTGTGTAAAGTCTAGTGACAACACCAGTGGCTCGCAAATAAACAATACAAAAATATAAATTCAAGCCAAAACAGTTGATTTACACATCAACATAAATTTTACTTGGTTGTGTTAAATTACAACGTTACTAAGGTAACGAGGCTTCAAGTTTAATGATTCTATGTTTCCGGTAAAACATTTATTTATTATTGTGTAGTGCTGCACAAAATTTAAATTTAGTATTTTATAATATAATATTTAAAAAATAATTGGTAGAAATAAATAATTATATAAAATAAACAAATTTTACTTAAATTGAAACATTTTTTTCATTTAATTCTTTAATATACAACAGCACAAACAAAATCAGCTGTTTTGAAATTCACATATCAGAACCTTTTTATTACTGTGTAGTATGCACAATTTATGTTCAATTTGAAGTATTTGAACAAAATATATGTCTTTTTCTTCTTCTAAAATCTTGTTTTGCTACAACAATTTAATTGGATATATTTATAACTGTAGAGCCAGACGTCCAGCATTCATGCCATCTCTTCGGCGATCGACCGGGTCATTATTCTTTGTTAGGCCGTCATTAGTGCTATTATTTTTATTCGAGGCAATTGTTCTTCGAGCAAATATTTAACTACAGATGGATAGAGTGCTGGTCTCGTCCACCAGGATTATTTCTGGACCTTCTCTGGTCTAGATCCACTATGTTCAGCTAGACAGGATCATCTCGTGTAGGAAGTCGCTCTACACCACGCATAAAATCGCTATTTTCACTACTCCTGTTTTATTCTTATCCCAAAATATATAAATAAAAATGAATATAAAATAAAATACAAGTTTTACTTAAAATTTAATTTTAACTTTTTTACGGTTTTTCTTTAATATTTTTTTCATTTTGTAACTAAATAATATATAAAAACTCTATTCTCAATTTTTCAAATCTTTAAAATTATGTGAATCGGCTGGCTAATATGACAAATTCTCTAGACTAAAACGGAATGATAGACCTGCCATCCTGCTTTCCTAAAGATTACCTTGATTAATTCAACTTATTCGCCGTGATATCTGATAAATAAGCCCTGGCTACTTTTTAAGAAGCTCATTAAAATAATTTACATTTTATTATATATTTCAATATAGTGTGTTTATATAAAATAATTTGTAATGTAATATTATTAGTCTTTAAGATTCTAAATAATAAAAAATATATATTCTCTGAATTTCTGAAGAAAGTTATATACATATGTGTAGCAAATCTAGTGAGTATTCATATATTCATTATTTTTGGGTAGTGTTAAATTGATGTTTATGTTAAATAAAATAAGTTTTAAAAACATTTCAGAGATATATACATATGAATCTGTAGTGAAGCAGAGTAGTCAAGAGCAGTTGTAATGTGGAAGCAAATGCAGGTAGATTTTCTGTCGAATTGACAGAAGCCTTAACATTTTTTGTAATTGTAATTTTTGTTTTTCAGTTTCAATAATTTCAAAACTTGTTGCAATTTTTTTTTAGATAATCTTCAAAATTTATTATTTTAATAGTAATTTTTTTTTAAATAACTGAAAATATTTATGTGTATATAAATCATTCAAATATTATTGCATCTCTTTTAATATGTAATTTTTATTAATAATTTAACTTTGGAAATTTGTTCCTTTACAAATTTTTTATAAAATTTTTCTGTTGCATTTATGGTAATTTCTTATATTTATTTTAATTAAAAGACAAATCCATTGTATATAAATTTAAAAATTTTAGTGCGCATAATAGCAGTTTTTGTCTGCGTAAAAATTCTTCCTTCTGCCTTAAATGTCAAACAGAACACAAAATCGTGTCGTTTCTATAAAACATAAACATTTTGAATTCACCTTTCGCTAGAAATGTTTTTATTCAACATTCCTCCCTTTTGCTTTGGTCCAGATTTATAATTCTGTGCACAGCATAGAAAACTAGCAATGGAATGAAAGAAAATAAGGGATGTTCTAGGGCTGTAAAAAGAAGAGGGTTAAAAATGAGATTAGCCTGCATTGCACACAAGCACACAAACACATGTGTTGGTGTAGAATTTCACACTACTTTTGTCAAAACTCAGATCTAGGAGAGTTAGTGATGCTCTCTTATTAATTATTTCATTTGCTGCTAGAAAGATTTTATTCAGCTGCTTGCATTTTAGTGTAGTGACAGAAAACTATTGAATTGACACAGATCTAAGGACGACGGTAGTACAGCGATAGTTCAATATAAAAATTTTTTAATTTTATTGATAAAGCATAAAAAAGTGAAGAAATTTGTTTGTTGTTTAATGATGGCAAGTGCTATTGCTAATGCCGGATTAATTCCTATTAACGAAAGTGAAAGTAAGCACGATTTATTTATTTACTTTTAAGTACATTTTTTTAGAAATAAAAAGATTGAAATAAATTTTTAATAAAGTGTCTATATAATAAACAGTGAATCTGCTTCAAATTTATGGTGATGCTATGCCAAAAAGTGTTTGTTGTTTGCCATGAATTTTTAATTTTGTGTACAAAAAACAGTACTGTTATACTTGCTAGATATATTAAAACAGTTTTCTAAAAGAGCTGAAACATAGGAGAAGTTAGGTACAGCTTCAGTGCGCAGGCAAAAAAAATAATTCCATGGAAGTTCAACTGTAGTTTTAAATTTTTGTTTAGAAAATGAAACACAAAAAGGAGGACAAGAAAAGTGCTGCCAGTCTACCATTTAATGCATACACTGTAGAAAAATGTATAACAGTTGAGAAAAACAGTTTTGCATTAATTTATCAATTATAATGAAATATTAATTAATTCTTATATCTTTAAAATATAATATTCTGCATAAATAAAAAAGAATACATGTATGTGGATATGTGTGACATACAATTTATTTTCTTTTAATATGAAATTTGAATTAAAAGAAATTCAAACGAATTACTTAGTTAATGTTAAATCCGATTTTCAACAATAATATTAAATAATTTAATAATAAGGTTTTAAAATGTCCTAGCTAATCAAAGTATTTTTTTTTTTGTAATTTATAGCTTTTTATCAAATCAGTGATGATGATCTAGAGGACTTTGACGATGATTGCTTGTTGGACGAACCTGAAAACCCTCATGTATTCAGCAACAGTCGTGGTCCATATGAGCGAGCTTGGACAAATGATGCAACACGTGCTCTAATTCATATACGTGGTCCTATGGAAGATCGTTTCACTGAGGGCAGACAAAAACGTACCGCACTTTGGTTGAGTTGCACTCGACAATTACAGAGACTTGGCTATCGCTACAGCGCTGCAAAAGTACAAAAAAAGTGGCATAATATCCTAATTACATATAACAAAAATCTCAGTAAAAAATATGCTTGTGGTTTTGTGCATTGGGAATTTTTCGAGGATATGTTTAAGTACTTACAAGGTAAAAAAGCTGATTGTGATGCCAGTTTTCAGTTAAATTCGCAATCACAGATTGACAGTAATTCACCACAAATAAAGCAGTCCGGCACACCAACGCCGTTAAATCAAAGTTACCAAAGCACTACAGATCAAAAGCCACCACGTATACAGATAACAAATAATATACAAGGAATGTATAGTCCACACGAATCCATTTTACATCCACATGTACAAATCGATACTAAGTCAAATGATGAATTTGATGAAGATAGCACAACCATGTCAGAGCTAAAACAACCTAAAATGGAATATAAAAGTGAAAATGATAATTCTAATGATTTGCATATGCAGCCTTTAAATGGCTTCCCCAATGGAAATAATTTTGATTTCATGAATAATTCTAAATTTGAACAAGACACGAATAGCGGTTGGTGGATGGATTATTTTGAGCGGAAGCTCAAACAACAATCCGATATGCATCGGG